CTGTGGGTGACTCGGGGCGGGCTGGGCGGCTCACCTGCGCGATGCAGTCGGCACAGGCAGGCAGCCAGAATGCTGAGGAGCAGGAGCAGGAGCCCACTCAGCCCCAAGGCCACGTAGAAGTAAAGGCCTGCAGGAGAGGGGTCAGAGGCCGGTCCTCTTCAGCTTCTGCCTCCCTGGCAGGTCTTGGGCACCTCAGCCCCCTTCTCCAACCGTGGCAGAGGCAGAGGGTAAACTTCAGAGCTCTCCCTCGGCATCGCACCACCTCACTCCCTGCAGAGGCGCGCGTCCCTCACCCGTGACCCGGCTCACACCTGGGACAGCTCCCCCTCCGCGGCTGCCCACAGCCTCCCTTGGGATCCCTGTCTCCCCTGGGCTGTTTCCGAGGGGCTGTGAGCACCTGCCGTGAACCACAGGCCTCCTTTCCCGACTCCCAGACCTCCACCATCCTTCCTGTGCGGAGGGCCGGGGGCCCTGTACTTACACGGGGAACAGTCGCCACTGCCCGCTGCCAGCCTGCCATCGTGAGCTGACATCGGGTCGGACTAGAACCGGCCTGGAGCTCGCCTGGCCCCTGCCCTGCTAAGCCCGATGGCCTCAAGTTCCTTCTCCGTGCGCCCTGTTACAGCCCTTCCCCACCGAGGAGCCTCGCCTGTGTGCCAACTCTGAGCTGGGCTCTTGTCGTCACCGGCAGCACAAGTATGAGTACTATGGTGCCCGCTTCCCAGATGAGAACATCCAGCCGGAAGTGGCAGGGCTGGGGCCCGAGGCCAGCACTACCCAGCCCTGGCCCCTCCCGCCCTCCGCCTGCGCTGGCCGGCTGTCTGGAGGGGCCTCTTCGACCCTGGGGAGTCTGGGTGCCACACATTGAGGGGACGGAGGGAGGGGATGAGCTGCAGGGTGGGCCGGGCGACACTGGGGGAGCAGAGAGGAGGGAGCCTGGTGCTCCTCAGCCGTGGGGCCAGGACAGCCGGCCTACATGGCTGGGCTGAAGTGGGGCGCAGGGGCGCTGGGCTCAGCCCTTCCTCTCAGGCACTTCCCTCCCTCCAACCACTGGTTCCTGTTTGAGGGCAAAGAGGGGTTGCTGGATTCCCCCTAGCCCCAGAGCCCCTGGCTACAGCGCGAGGCACACACTCGGGTTTGAGGGATTGCTGGGGTGCGTGAAGGGAGGCAGAAGCACAGCACAGGGGAGCCGCGTGGTCATGATGCTGCAGGGGGCAGAAGTGGATTCTTTCTCCTGAGACAGGGTCTTGCTCTGTAGTTCAGGCTGGCCTAAAACTCACAGTGACCCTCCTGCCTCAGCCTCCTGAGTGCTGGGATTGCAGGTGTGCACCACCACGCCCAGCCAGAAGTGGATTCTTCTTCATCTCTTTGGGAACAGAAGCTGGACAGTGGATTCCTCTAGGCCCAGGAAAACTCCCATCCATACTCTGCCACCCTCATCCCAGCCTCCCCTCACTGGGGTTTCTTCCACCAGAACCTGTGGCCTGCAGGGGAAACATACGTAGCTATTCAGAGCCTCCTGGGCTCTTGCAGTTCCTGACCTCCTCTGCCTCAACTTCCCCACCCAGAAGGAGCCTCCCCGACACGGGAAGGAGAGGAAGTGAAGCTGAGGCTGGAGTTACAACATCTTTCCTTCGGGCCTGGGCTGTAACCAGGATGGTAATCACTCTCAACGGCAGCCACTCCTCCACTCCCGCGCCAGAGCTGTCCACTGTCCACGGGTGCCTTCGCTGGTGGACATGTCCCTCACACCCGCCTCAGTCAGCTGTGGCACAGCCTGGGCTCCCCCTGGTGGGCTGTGGCTGTCGCTGCAGGCTGCTTCCCCGACGGCTTAATGAGCAGGAGAGGCGGCAGGACGCCGCTGTGGGGCGCTGTGGGTAGGTATCAGACAGGTGGAGCACGTGGGCCTGGGCAGAGCAGAGCTGTGGGTGACCAGGAGGACTCCCCGTGGGATTTGCGATTGTTCTTCAAATTCAGGAACTTTCCGCTACTTTCTCACACGCTTGTGCACAATTTCCCCCCACAAAACAATATTCAGGGATGTGTGATAACTTTAATTTTATTAAAAAGTTCAAACTGGGCTGGGGATTTAGCTCAGTGGTTCCGGTGCCTGTCTCGCAAGCACAAGCGCCTGAGTTCGATCCCTGGTAGAAAAAAAAAAAAAAAAATCAAACTTAGAGAAAAATTGGAAGTTGTGGAGCAAACTGATCCCTAAAACCGAAATCTTATAATCAATATTTTTCTATATTTGATTTATCACATATTCATCTATTCTTTTTTTGAGACAGGGCCTCACTATGTAGCCTGGGCAATCCTCCTGCCTCAGCCTCTCAGTGCTGGAATTACAGCTGTTACCACCATGTTTGTATCATTTTTTATATCTTTCAAAATTGCAAACACTGTTACATGACATCTCTAAGTCCCTTAGCACACCAGTCACTGGCTAGATTTCAGTATTTGTTTCCCCATTTCTGTTTTTGCCTGAGGAAGACAAAATTTACGTGGTACGAAATGTACAAATTTGAATCAATACTCAGTTTTCCCACAGGATTAAACTCAGAGCTTCATGAAGGCTGGGCAGACACTGTACCACTAACCCAGCTCTAGCCCTCCACTGAATTCTTCTTTCTCTGCATTGTCCTACTATGTCGTTGTCCAGGCTGGTCTCATTCCTGAGCTCAAGTGATTGTCTCACCTCGGCCTCTTGAATGTTGGGATTACAGGCTTGTCTCTGGGTCTCACTTTCCTTTGAGGGTTTTTTTTTGTTTTGGCCTGGAACTCACTATGTAGCCCAGGTTGGCCTCGAATTCCTCCTGCCTCAACCTCCTGAGTGCTAGGATTACAGGCTTGCTCCACCACACCCAGCCCTCTGAGGGTTTTTGTCAGGATTAAAAGAATTACTACACAGGATGTAGGTGAGCGGTCAGCACATGTGCAGTGCTATTCGTATATTAGCTATATTATTATTATTACCCAAATACCCAGAGATGTCATCAAGAAGGAGTAATGGTCTGGGGCCACCTGCACGTTCCCAGGCCCTGGACTCTCGCTCCTCCCACACGGCCTAGCTCCTCCATTCTCTTGCTGCTTGCTGTTTTGTTTCACTTACCCATTCATTTGTTCTTCCCTCTTTTTACTCTAGACATTTAGCAAAGCGGCTGGCTCCTTCGGGGCTGGAGCGGAGGGTGGGGTGGCCTCATGCCGCATTCTCCATCTGCAGCATCTGCAGCTAGAGAGCTGAGCGCGTCGGAGCCCTGGCTCCTGCCCTGTTGTTGCAGCCCGGCTCGCCGTGCTGCCCACCTTCTGCAGCTACCTGCCCTCCCCGGGCCTCGGGTTCCCTCCCCTCTGGGCTGGACCAGCGGTAAGGCCCCTCCAGCTCTACCTTGCAAAGTGTCTCTCTACCCCAACTCCTTCCCCAGTTCAGAGAACGCGGGCATCCAGCCGCCCCACCCCAGCTCTGGGTAAACAGGAAACCGGGTGAGGGGAGCAGGGAGGGGCGTGCGGAAAGTCCCAGCCAGGTGTGTGGGTCTGCAGGGGGGTGGCCCCACCCCTTTAGTATGAAAGCCCCCCCTTCCCCGGGCCTGGTTCAGAGTCTGGATGGGGGCACTGGGGCTGCAGGCCCCGGGCGGGAGGCCCCAGGGGAGGGGCTGCTTCCTGCTGGCTGTGGCAGGGGCCACTTCGCTGGTGACCCTGCTGCTGGCGGTGCCCGTCACTGTCCTGGCAGTGCTGGCCTTGGTGCCGCAGGAGCAGGGAGGATGGGTGAGTGGCTGCGCCAGGCCCTGAGGGCTGGGCCTCGCCAATGCTCCGGGCCTCTGGCCTACCTGGCTCAGCTGGCTGAATGCCCCTGGTGGAATGGCAGTCTCTTCGCAGACTCTCGCCACATTCCTGTGAGGCTGCTGTGTCCCGGTGTCTCCCGGCCGCCGGTTGTGTCTCACTCCCCGCGTGTGTGTGTGTGTGTGTGTGTGTGTGTGTGTGTGTGTGTGTGTGTGTGTGTGTGTGTGTGTGTGTGTGTGCACGCGCGTGACACACATTGCTCACTCTCCCAGGCGATGCATGCTGCAGATGGTGCTGAGACCCCAGCCCGGGGCTGGGGTCCGCGGTGGGAGGGGCGGGGTTGGCATCAGCTGAAGCTGAACTCTGGGTGCTCTGACTCCACCCGGCAGGTAACGGAGACCCCCGGCCCAGGAGCACAGGCCCAGCAAGGACTGGGTAAGCGCGCCCTTCTCGCCGACCGCTCCGGGACTGCCAGCTCCCACTGCACCCACACCCTCTCCCTGCAGGAACAGGCACCCCACCCTGGGCTCTGTCGCCCTCTCCTGGGAGGGGTAGGGAGCGCGCAGGGGGTGGGCCCCTCCTCCAATCGTGCCCTCTTCTGCAGTTCCAGGGCTGCGCGAGCTGCGGGAGGAGGCGCCAGAAAAAGATCCCCGGGCCCTGCTCCCGGCTGCCCACCTCATAGGTAACGCCGTGCGCGCTGCACCCGCGTGTGGCGCGAGAGGCCCGATCTGCCCGCCCACGGCC